ATATATATCTGTGTGTGTGTGTAGATTAAATAATTCCAAGAGTAACTCTTCATAAAGTTAATCCACTCAATAATGTATGTTATGTTTCAATAATCTAACCATTAAATTAAAAGTTCCTAACGTATAGATCAAGTATAATTTTTTAAAATTTTAAAAATTATTTGATATTTCATTTTAATTAATTCAAATTGACAGATAATCATAAAAACATTTTATACATTGATTTGAATCTATATAAAGAAGTATTATATTGTTTTCAATTTTTTAAAAGATTTGTAATCTTGATCTATATATTATGAACATTTAATTTAATGGTTGAATTATTAAAATTCAATATATATCATAAGTTATTGAGTAAAGTAACTTTACCAAGAATTACTCTAGAAATTATTTGATCTCTCTTCATATATATAAAATTAAAAAATATAATATCAGTGTTATAATAAAATTAATAAAATAATTATAACATATTTAATACATTAAAATTTATCAATTTTTCTGTTTTATTTAATTCAAAATATATTAAGTGAAAATTTTATTTTTTCTTCACTTCTTTTTCACCAAACAATCTTAATTTTCCCTATTTTTTAAATATATTTTTCTTTTTTTTTTCCCCTCTTCTCTCTATTTCCTTTTTCTCAACCAAAACACTAGAAAGAATCCAAACCGGCATATGCAAGTATGTAGCTTTTTATTAGGCACACGTTTTAGAGGATGTATTTAAAAGCTGTAAAAATTATATTATTTCAAAAATCAATTGTGTATAATCAATTATAATCGAAATAAACTTTTGTTCGAGCAAATTTGTTGAAAAAAAATTATGAGATATTTAGTTTTGTTTAGATACAAAAAAAAAAGTTTTTATTTAGTAATATAGTTATAGGAGAAAAAAACTGTTAAAAAATAATCATAAGCTTCAAAGTTTAAGATTTATAAAAACTTGCTTTTTTAGAAAAAGAAAATCTGTTTATAATTTTCTGTTATTGTCCCAAACAATTTATAAACAGTTTTTTTTTCCCGACAACAATAGCTGAATCTAGGCAAAAGAGCCTTTCCCAAACAAACTCCCTTTGTGTTTTGAATTCTGAAATAGACAAATAGATTGAGATCATTGCGTTGATTTCAATGATTTGTATTACTTGCCAAATTTGAATATTGTTTGTATTACAAGCTCTCATACTTAATGGCTTTCGACCAATGTTCTCAAGTCTCAACTTTTACCTTCACTATTGAGTATTGAGGACCTGTTTGAATAAATTTTTTCATCAACACTTTATCTGATGACTTATGAGAGCATTTCTATTTCATCTTATTTTCTTATAATTGTTAAAGGAAAAACTTATCCAAATATGGACTTTCTCAAATTAAAAATCCTACATGTTTTTTTCTTCCAACTTAGCATAATCGATCGAACAGTTGCAGCAAGAATGTCTAATTTGATTCTGTTCATAGCAGAAGATTTTCATATCA